CAAGATTTTTTTTAGCAAAACACCAGAGGTCCGCAAGATTCTTCCACAATCTTTCGAAAAAAAAGCATCAGGGCTGCCGAGGTTTTTAATTTTTTTCAAAAACAAGCATCAAGGAAACCATGGTACAAGAAGAAATAAAACCAAGATATTTGAAAATTCTTTTCAAGACAAAACACCAGAATATTCTTTAAATTTTTCCAAAAACAACATAACAGGTGCTTTTTTGATTCTTTCAAACTTTTTCAAGAACAAAATACAAAAATCTGACATTTTTTTAAAATCTTTGTTAAACAAAATACCAAAGATCTCCCAGATTCTCCAAGCATCTCCCAATATTCTTTAGTTTTTTTTTAACACAACTCGCTTGTAAATTATTCAGAATTCGTTCAAACATAAAACACCATGAACCCACGAGATTCTTTAAATTTCTTAAACAACTCAGGTTCTCGAGAATATTTAAACAATTTCAAAAATAACCAACAAGGGCCTCCAAGATTCTTTAAAATTCTTCCACAAGTAAAACATTAGGAGCTCACGAGATTGTTCATTATTTTGTTTTTAGCAAAACTTCGGAGGAACCCAAGATTCTTCCAAATTCTTAAAAAAGACACCAGTCCTCCCCCCCAGATTTTGAATTTTTTTTTCAAAAACAAAACCAACCTTCAAAAAAGCAACACAAGGATCTCCAAAGCTTCTTAAAATTCTTCCAGAGGTAAAACATTACAGGCTCTCAAAATTTGTTTTAAGCAAAACACCAGAAGTCCCTAAGATTCTTCCACCTTTTTTCAAAAACAAAACACCAGGGCTCCAGATGTTTTTTGAATTTTTTCCAAAAACAAATACCAAGGTACCCAAGATTTTTGAAAATTCTTTTAAAGACAGAACACCAGGGGTTCAGAACTTTCTTAACTTTTTTTGAAAGACAAAATAAAAGGGCACATGTGGCTCTTTAAAACTTTTTCAAAAACAAAATACAAAAAACTCACAATTTTTTTTTTATTCTTTCTTTAACAAGACACCAAAGATCTTTGAGATTCTCCAAGAATCTTCCAATACTCTTTATTTTTTTCAACACAACTGGCTTCTAAAATTCTTTAGAATTCCTCCAAAAATAAAACACCAGGAGCTCACGAGATTCTTTAAATTTCTTGAGGTCCCCGAGATTATTTAAACAATTTAAAAAACCAATGAGGGCCTTCAAGATTTTTTAAAATTCTTCCAAAGCTAAAACATTCGGAGCTCTCGAGGTCTTTATTATTTTTTTTAGCAACACATCAGAGGAACCCAAGATTTTTCCAAATTCTTAAAAAAAATACCAGTCCTCCCCCCCCCCCGATTTTGAAAAAAACAAAACCAACCTTCAAAAAAACAACACAAGATTCTCCAAAACTCTTTAAAATATTACAAGCTCTCAAGATTTTTCTTTTAGCAAAACACCAGAAGTCCCTAAGATTCTTCCATATTCTTTCAAAAACAAAACACCAGGGCTTCTGATGTTTTTTAATTTTTTTCCAAAAACAAATACCAAGGTACCCAAGATTTTTGAGAATTCTTTCAAAGACAAGACACCAGGGGTTCAGAACACCAAAATAAAAGGGCATCTGTGATTCTTTAAAACTTTTTCAAAAACAAAATACAAAAAACTCACAAAAATTTTTAAAATTCTTTCTTTAACAAGACGCCAAAGACCTTTGAGATTTTCCAAGAATCTTCCAACACTCTTTATTTTTTTCAACACAGCCCGCTCCTAAAATTCTTTAGAATTCCTCCAAACATAAAATATCAGGAGCTCACGAGATTCTTTAAATTTCTTGACGTTCCCGAGATTATTTAAACAATTTCAAAAACCAACGAGGGCCTTCAAGATTTTTTAAAATTCTTCCAAAGCTAAAACATTCGGAGCTCTCGACGTCTTTATTATTTTTTTTAGCAACACATCAGAGGAAACCAAGATTCTTATAAATTAAAAAAAAAAAAATACCAGTCCTCCCCCCCAGATTTTGAAAATGTTTTCAAAAACCAAACCAACCTTCAAAAAAACAACACAAGATTCTTCAAAACTCATTAAAATATTACAAGCTCTCAAGATTTTTTTTAGCAAAACACCAGAAGTCCCTAAGATTCTTCCACATTCTTTCAAAAACAAAACACCAGAGCTCCCGATGTTTTCTAATTTTTTTCCAAAAACAAATACCAAGGGACCCAAGATTCTTGAAAATTCTTTTAAAGACGAAACATCAGGGTTCCAGAACTTTCTTAAATTTTTTTGAGAGACAAAATTAAAGGGCACATGTGATTTTTTAAAACTTTTTCAAAAACAAAATACAAAAAACTCACAAAATTTTTTAAAATTCTTTCTTTAACAAGGGACCAAAGACCTTTGAGATTCTCCAAGAATCTTCCAACACTCTTTATTTTTTTCAACACAACTGGCTCCTAACATTCTTTAGAATTCCTCCAAAGATAAAACACCAGGAGCTCACGAGATTCTTTAAATTTCTTGAGGTCCCCGAGATTATTTAAACAATTTAAAAAACCAACAAAGGCCCCCAAGGTTTTTTAAAATTCTTCCAAAAGTAAAATATTTGGAACTCTCGAGGTCTTTATTATTTTTTTTAACAACACATCAGAGGTTCCCAAGATTCTTCCAAATTCTTAAAAAAAAACAAAAGAGGCCCCTAGATTTTGAAAATTTTTCAAAAACAAAACGTCAAGTAATAAACCCTAAGATTTTGAAAACCGTTTTAAAGACAAAACACCGGTGGTCCAGAACATCCTTTAATTTTTTTCCAAACACAAAATAATAAAGGCCCACGTGATTCTTCAAATCATTAAAAAAAAATCAAAATACAAACATGTGAGATCCCCGAGATTATTTAAACAATCTCAAAATAAGACAACAAGGATTTTAACGAATTTTTGAATTTTTTAAAATTCTTCCAAAAGTAAAACATTAGGGTCTTTCGAGATTCTTTATTATTTTTTTTAGCAAAACATCAAAGTGACCCCACTATCCTTCCACATTCTTAACAAAACATTTTCAAAAACAAAACATCAAGGAATTAACCCTCAGATTTTTTAAAATTGTTTCAAAAACAAACACCAGAGGTCCATAATATGTTTTGAAATTTTTCCAAAAATAAAATAATAGGGGTGCCTGAGAGATTTTCAAATTTTTCAAAGACAAAATACAAAGGACCTACAAGATTCTTTAAAATTCTTTCGATCAAAACACCAAGGTCTTCTGAAATTCATTAAAATTTCACAAAAAAAAAACACCAGAAGCTTCAAACATTTTTAAATTTTTTGGAAAACTGTTGGTTCCTAAGATTCTTTAGATTTCTGCCAAACGTCAAAACACTAGGGACTTCCGAGATTATTTACAATCATTAAAAATAAAACGAGATTCTTTAAAGTTCTTTTGGAGAGTAAATACTATATATACTACACTAGTCCACTATATTTTTTCAATTTTGGATATATTTTTAAAATTTTTATAAATAAACACCAAATCTCTGGAAGATTCTTTCGATTTTGTTTCAAAAACCAAATATTAAGGAGCCTCAAGATTTTTTAAAAATCGTTCAAAAACAAAACACCAGAGACCCCAAAATTCCTAAAAAGTATATAAAGGACTCCCGAGAAGTTCTGAAATTTTTCAGAGAAAACCAGCAGAAGATTTAAATATTTTTTTGAAAAACACAACCGGCTTCTAAGATTTTTAAGTATTCATTCAAAGATCAGGAACCCACGAGATTCTTCACAATTCTTCCAAAATAAAACATCTGAAGACCACAAGATTCTTTAAACTTCTTTTAAAGACGAAACATCAGATATTCACGATATATTTTTAATTTTTTGCAAACACAAAATACTAAGTAGGTGTTTCCAAGAGGCTTTAAATTTCGAAGATTCTTTAATTGTTTTTCAAAAACGAAATAACGGGGGTACTTGGAACTCTTTAGGACTTTTTCAAAAAGCGCTATATAACACAAAGGGCCCACAAGATTCTGTAAAACTCTTTCTAAAACAAAAACAACAGATGCTTCAAACATTTTTTGTTGTAAAATAGAACAGCCTCTAAAGATTATTTAAAATTGCTCTGAACACAGAACACTAGGAATCCCCGAGAATCTTCACAATTCTTACAAATAGAACATCCGAGGACTTCCAGATTCTCTAAAAACAAAACAAAAAATAATGTTTAAACCCCCGAAGCTTCCTTCAATTTTTTTCAAAAACAAAATATGTACTAAGAACCTCCAAGATCTTTATAGATTATTTAAAAGATAAAAGAGGCTGGACCAATAGATTCTTTAAAATTATTCCAAAATTCAGCCAAGTTAATTTAAAACGAGAGCACAGCAGGTAAGATCTGGTACCAGAGACGTACTCTTCAAATTTTAGCCATTTTTTTTAAAACACTACCCAGCTACTTCCCGGACAAGAGCTCCACAAGATGCTGAATTACACCTGCTAGACGTTTAAGGTAAAAATGAGGACGAAATAATGCAGTAGAGGAACAGAAGTTTGTTATTTTATAAAATTTAAGTAAGATGATGTCATCAATTTGTTGGTGGGGATGATCAAACAAATTTTGGTTAGCTTTTCACTACTTATACAATAGCAAAGTTCAGACGACAGACAGACAGAAATTAACCAAAACGACCCTATTACAATATTTCCGTAGCTTACACTCGGAAATAGCATTATCTAGTGTGTCTGCTTTCCCAGTATCGTACTTCTTGCGCACTCACATTAATGTAAATTTGCGCTTTGTTGTTGTATGAAATTCAGATGAGCTGATACTGTTTTAATCGTCTCATACCTCTACTGTTCACGCTTTACTTCAGCATGAGACGAAAGGCAAAACATGTTTGAAAAAAAACCCTTATTTCTATCCCCAGCTCCTATATGTTGTGAGGGGCAGGTATCCTCCACCCTCCCGTTGTATAATACAACGCTTTAGTATCGATCAGCGTCGCACAGCCCATCTGGCCATGAACCAAATACAACCCAACCCTGACACCCTCGCCAAACACAGTGCCATCGTTTTTCGCGTGTTCATCTCATGATACTCAGACTGTCAGTGTCCAAATTTTTCAAAAATGTGCCTAATTTATTGTGATTGACTTTACTGAATGCATCAAAATGTAAAATTCTCGCAAATGAGAGTCGTTAGGTGAGTAAACAACAACGAGGACTTGTGGACTTTGTTATTGCCAATAAAACAAACGGAATCTGCTGTGCACTAAGTTTTTCGGGATGAGTTATCTTCAAAGGAAGGAAAGATTGTAGGTTGACGGTAGACAAACAATATGTTCGCACCTTTTGTGTGCTCACATGGATGACGTACGTGATATCAGGCGAAAGATTATTTGAGTGATACTTATTGTGTCTAAAAAAAGTTTTTTCGTTTCGTTCTGTCGTGGACAAGTTAAATGACGAAGAATATGCTTTTTCATTATCATTATTTTTCGTTTTGTGCTAGTATTAATAATTATATTACTACTAATGTTTGTGCAGTTACCGAATTTGTGTCCTTCAACCTAATGCTTACTCGTGAACTTTGACGCTCCTTTTATTCAAAGAAGAATTAGTTAAATCATTTTTATTGTTTCGTTCCCGAAGTTTTTTACGTTTAAATTTGAATTCATTTCCACGTAGTGAATATAGCCACAACACTTCCACGTTTGTGTAAAAATTATGTTAATTATTTCTTAATATACTAATCTTCTTCCACTAATGTGTGTAGGCATTTGGGAAGCCCCAGGAGAAAAACAAATTTTGATTGAGAAATGATGACGCAGTCTTAATGTCTACTCTGTACTAGTTAGGTGTACGTACGTCAGAAAAAGCAACGAATGTTTTTTTTTACAATCGACTACTCTCTAATTTATTCATTGCAGCACTGTGAAATCCGTTTTTTGCTTGTAACCAAAACAACTGAAGATACGTTCAGTGTTGGATGATTATGGGTTTTAACTAATTTTTGTATGATTGTTGTTCTTACAGAAATCTGTTTTTGCTAATGCTGAAACGTCTAAACGTAAATTTTGCCGAATAAATCCAATCTAAAATGCGCAAAATATGATCAGTCTATACTTGTAATTTATCAATGCATTCACATTTTTTAGAATTGCTTATACTGCGTGACTCAGAAAAATTATTGAATCAATCAATTTTATTTTATTGAATAAATCAAGAATTGCAAAAATGAAAACTTTGAAATCTTGCAGATATTTTAAAGTTATTGTAAGGATGTAACCAAAATATATCTCTTTATTCCTCCTCAAGAAATTGATGACGTCATCTCAAAATTTTGCCGAATTCCAAAATGTGCACAATATGATGAGTTTTTACTTGTGATTTATCATTGCATTCATATTTTTTAGATTTGCCTCCTATTTTCTCATAGGAAATGTTATTTGCCAAAATTAGTGTTATCTAAGCAAGGACTAGCCCCGCCCACCCGCCCTCTATTTTCTTAGAAGGTATGGCATTTGCCAAAATTAGTTTCATCTTAGCAAATTCTAGCATTTTGGCAAATGACAAAGAAAATAGGGGGTGAGTGGACAGGGCTAGTACTTGCTACGATAAGATTTATTTTGGCAAATGACATATTCTCTGAAAAAAGAGAGGTGGTGGGTGGGCGGGGCTAGTACTTGCTAAGATAAGACTAAATTTGTAATCAAAATATGTTCATCCCTCTCAAAAAAATTTACCGAATAAATCCTATCCAAAATATGCAGAATATGATAAGCATATATTTGTGGTTTATCACTGCATTAAAAGTTTTTAAATTTCTTACACAAGATAAAATAAATGAACGAGTCAAGTTATCGTACTGAAATCGGGAACGAATAAGTACATAATATTTTTCTACATTGGCTTTTTCCTAAGCTTTACAACCTGGTTTATTTTTGAAATTATGATGTTGCCACGTTATTCCAATTTCCTTTTATGTAATACACTATTTTGTGGAGAGGTAAACATAAGTACTTAATGTGGTATCAGGCAAATTAAATTTTACTATCCCGAAAAAATACAGTTTTCATTTGAAAACTGTATTTTTTATATCTAAAGTTAATAGGATATTTATCCATATTTCAGTTTTAACACACTATATTTTTTACTAGATCGTAACCTATTAAAAACTATTAACTTTAAATATAGAAAATACTTAACAAAGGAGAAAAAAATATAAAAAAAATTGTTCTACTTGAAAAAATTTAAATATCGAAAATTATAATATTTTTTAACTTATTTCTGTATGATTGAGTTCTTACAGAAATCTGTTTTTGTTGCTAATGCTGAAACGTCTAAACGTAAATTTTGCCGAATAAATCCTGCCTAAAAGTTGCAAAATATGATTAGTGTATATGTATAATTTATCAATGCATTCATATTTTTTAGATTTGCTTATACAGGGTCATTCAAAAAAAATTAATGAATCAATCAATTTATTTTATTGAATAAATCGGAATTGCAGAAATGAATACTTTGAAATCTTGCGGATGTTTTAAAGTTATTGTAAGCATGTAACCAAAATATAAAATTTATTAAGTTTATTCCCCCCCAAGAAATTGATGACCTCATTTCAAAATTTTGCCGAATGTCAAAATGTGCACAATGTGATGAGTTTTTACTTGTGATTTATTATTGCATTCATATTTTTTAGATTTGCCTCATATTTTCTCATAGGAAATGTTATTTGCCAAAAATAGTCTTATCTTAGCAAGGACTAGCCCCGCCCACACGCCCTCTACTTTCTTAGAAGGTATGGCATTTGCCAAAATCAGTCTTATCTTAGCAAATTCTAGCATTTTGGCAAATGACATATCTTTTAAGAAAATAGAGGGCGAGTGAACAGAACTAGTACTTGCTACGATAAGATTTATTTATATCCTCTGGAAAAATAAGGGCTGGGTGGGCGGGGCTAGTACTTGCTAAGGTATGACTAAATGTTTAATCAAAAATGTTCATCCCTCTCAAAAAATTTTACCAAATAAATCCTATCCAAAATATGCAAAATATGAGAAGACTATTTGTGGTTTATCACTGCATTAAAAGTTTTTAAATTTCTTATACAAGGTGAAATGAGTTAACGAGTCAATTTATTTTACTGAAATCGGGAACGAATAAGTACATCACATTTTTCTACATACTCTGATTGGCTTTTTCGTAGCCTTTACAACCTGGCTTATTTTTGAAATTTTGATGTTGCAATGTTGCCACGTTATTCCAATTTCCTTTTATGTAATACACTAGTTTGTGGAAAGGTAAACATAAATACTTAATGTGGTATATTAAAGAACGAGTTTCATAAGGCAAATATTGAAGCAGGAATCCAAGTTTATAAAACGAGCGGTGAAGCCGCGAGTTATATAAAAGATGAGTGCCACAATGACCTTATGAACTAGTAATTTATACTATTTTTTCTATCGCGCACGTTTTTTCGCAAAATTTAATTGAAATTTGCCTTTTTTTAAATCTGGGAAATTTTGTCGTGGTTGGTGATGGGTTGGTCTGACACTAATCACGAAATATTTGAGGTTTGAATTTTCACAACAAGAACTGTAATTCGAATCAATTCGACTTTTTGTAAATTAAAATTGGTTAAAATGTCTTGTGAAGAAGTTAGCGAAGTCCTTACACCTCCGGAAATACGGCAAATTTTAATTTTACATTTGCCACTGACATTCACCTGACATTTCTCGTCATGGCTACCAATCTTATCGATCTAAATTACACCAGATCTATTAAAGAACGCCTTTCCGCTATTAATGAACTGCTGTGCCGTCATTTGCGTGCTTTAATAGCTCTATTAGAAAACCAACCAAAAAACGTGCGCGGTAGAAAAGTTTTTTTTTTTCTCTATTTTAAGAAAGTAGAGTAGTACTTGCTAAGATAAGACTTATTTTGGCAAATAACATACCCTTTGAGAAAATAAGGTGCGAGTGGGCGGGGCTAGTACTTGCTAAGATAAAGACTGATTTTGCCTATATTAATCTTGTAAAAACTTGTTAAATTTAAAAGATGTTAAATTGCAAATTTCCATAGTAACGAGTTAAATTCCTAAATCTGATTGGGTGTTTATTTTTTATGTTTCATTCTACTTCAGGAGCGAGGGAAGTTCTGTTGAAACAACTTTCAACCAATTTTTTTCAATTGTAAAATGAAGAAAAGGATAAAGACGAGGTACCTGAATTATTTTGAATAATGGAAGTCCGATCCATTTCAAATATCCAACAACACAACATTTAGCCCAATAAGTGCCTAACAATGTGTCACAGAGTTAATGCACCATTCTTTGAACAGACTGTGTATAGTATGATTGTTTTTTAATAATAAAATTAAACAATATATGTACTCGTATTTCGGAAGATATTTACGATTTTGGGCAAACTTAACACCTGTAAATGCCAATTTTCTTTGACTATACTTTGTTGATGGAATATACAGGATGAGTCAGTAAGAGCGATGTCTCATTAAATAGTAGAGATAGAAAAAAAGTTAAAGACCAAATTTGGATAGTTCTTTGAGTAAGGCTATAGATTAACACATTTTCAACAAAACAGAACGTTCTGTTTTTGAGGAGTAACATACAACTTACTTTTTTACTTTCCGAACGTAAGGTAAGCAAGTAATCGAATCCATCGGGCGACTAGCCACTTTCATGTTTTTTCGACGTTTCATGGCCTCGATAGTAGGAAAAAAGGGGTCTCCCGTTTCTGGCTGTCTGTCTAATGTCTATATCCACACTTTTAGACACGTAATCTCTGAAATTGCTGGACCAATTGTTGTAAAATTTTATATGTATATTAGAAATTTGGCTAATCATTCCCAACACCAATAGGATGAAGTCAACTCCAAAATATATACTAGTAAGTTTTGTTCAAATTTTATAAAATATGATACTCCTGCACTTATGGTGTGTGAATTCGTGTCGAATTTACCCCTTAGACATCAAAATTTTTGAAAAAAAATTCAAACCTGTAACAATATTTTGCAATTTAACTTTGAAACTGCAAAACTGAATGGTCTGACTTGTTAAGGTTATCATAATCATGGTAAATCGTTAAGCCAAATACGAGTATATTCGTTTATTCCTGCCAAAAAAATTGATGACATCATCTCAAAATTTTGCCGAATAAATCCTTTCTGCATTATGCAAAATAC